TTTCCGTTTTATCATCATTTAGCTTCAGTTTGTTGCAAGTCATCCAACGCTTTACATCGTCCACGCACTCCTGTATGCGAAGGATTGTGGCATCAAGTTGATCAGGAAAGCAAGAGTCACTGATTTGAGTGTCATCAGCAAAGGATTGACTGGAAACTGAGTGGTGGCTAATGAGAGATGATAGAGGTTTAGTGTAGAGGATGAAAAGGACCGGCCCAAGGACCGATCCTTGAGGAACTCCAATAGACAGGGCTGAAGGTTTGGAAGAGCGGTTGGAAATAGAGACTTTTTGAGTTCTGTCAGAAAGATATGATTGAAACCAGTTTAAAGCTGAGCCAGTAAGTCCGAAAGAAAGATGAAGGCGGTCAAGAAGAATCTGGTGGTCAATGGTATCAAATGCAGCAGAGAGATCTAACAGAGTGAGAATAGAGAGTTTGCCATCATCCATCGCGCGCAGGAGGTCGCTCATGACTCGGACCAGTGCTGTTTCTGTGCTATGACCAAGTCGGTAGGCGGACTGAGAGGAAGGATAGAGATTGCGAGAGAGAAGATAGTCAGAGAGCTGAGAGAGTATGAGTTTTTCTATGATTTTTGAGAGAAAGGAGAGGTTGCTAACGGGGCAGTAATTCTTGAGTGTGTTTGGATCAAGTGAGGGTTTCTTTAGGAGTGGCAGGACAATCGACCGTTTAAAAATAGGAGGGAAGATGCCAGAGAGAATAGAAGAATTAATGATGGAGGTGAGTGCTGGGAGGAGAACTTCAAGGCATTCTACAAGCAGTGGGACGGGTATCGGATCGAGGGCACAAGGCTTGGGAGCAGACCTGATGATGACTCGCCTCACCTCATCCTCAGTCACAGGCAGAAATCTATCAAATGATTCTGTCTGACTAACCTCCTCCGAGAACGTTGAGGAAGGTGTAGGGGTCGTGCTGTCTAACTCCTCCCTGATCGTTTGCACCCTGGTGATGAAAAAGTCCGCAAAGGCGTCAGGGAGTTGCTCTGGTGCTATGTCGGTAGGGAGGGTGAGATTCTTGCTGTTGCCAAGGAGAAGGTTACTAGCGCTGAAAAACGCCTTGGTTGATGCACATGATTCGACCTATGAGCTCCAGTAGTCATCCTTTGCCCTCTGTACAATCTCTGACACCGCCTCTTTCGCTGTCCAAAATATATGTCTGTCAACACTCAGTCCAGTCTTTACCCAGCGTCTTTAATCGCGTCTTCGCTCAAGTTTTGCCAGACGGAGTTGGTCACTAATGCCTGCATACCATGGCGACGAGCGACCAGTCGGGACACGTCGCGCCATGGGATGGGCGTGCTCGTCCAAGAGTGCTCGGAGGCCATTGTCCAGATGCTGTGCGCTGAGCTCAGCACCTAGCCCTTGAAGCATTGTCTTAATGCCGGCTTTGAAGGCTGCTATGTCTATAGCGTTTATCTCACGCACGGTCCTATAGACAGGTGTGTTCTGTGGGGGAACTACGTTGAGTGTAGTGAGCACCGCTGCATGTTCAGAGGAGAGCATATGACTTACAGTACAGCTGTCCACCAAGTTATCGTCATCACGGTACACCACCCAGTCGATGATGTGGCCGCTGCGATAGTAGGTGGGCTGCTTAATGCCCTGGACAAGGCTAAACCTTGTGAGGATGTCAAGTACCTTGCTAGTAAGGGGATCAGTAGGGACATCATAGTGAACGTTAAGGTCGCCCACGATCACACTTTTTCCACGGAGCAGGTTGCAGTAGTCAAGTAGGTCAGGGAGCTCAGAGAGCAAGGTGGAGTTTAGGAGCTTGTTCTTCTTACTGGGTGGAGTGCGGTACAAGCAGAACATGTTGACAGTGTGGGGCGTGTTGAGGGTGAACTGAACAAGTTCTAGTGAGGTGTGCTGGAATGTGAAAGTGGAGGTGAAAGTCACTTGGAGGTGGCTGCGATAAATGACAGCGAGGCCGCCACCTCGAGTAACACGTGGAAAGGACTTAATATCGAAACCCGGTGGCGTGAGGTCAGCGCACTTTGAATCATCCCCTGTTGACCTCAACCAAGTCTCCGTCACGAACAGCAAGTCAACAAATTCGTCCTTTACGAACTCTACTATCTTTGTTCGCTTCGCCCCGCACTTTGAGCCCACGGATTGGCAGTTATAGTGGCCCACTCGTAGTTGGTCTGGAAGCTTCTGGCGGCTGCTGATGACAATGACGTTGCTGCGCCGAATACGTCCGGAGTCAAGTGAGACCCATGGTACGCGCTTTGGACGAACAGGAAGGCGTTCAAACATATCTGTCATCACATGGATATGCATCGATTGCTGCGTCTCCAAGGACCAATTTACTTTCATTGAATCTTTAAGGGCAAACTGGGGAGAAGTGGGTTGATGCATATGATCAGGTGTTGTGGTGGAAGGAGCTGAGTGACGAGATCTCATCTTCCTTTTCCCCCCAGCGAAAACTTCTTGCAGTTTTCTTTTTTATTAATTGAATTGTTCTACATCGTGCAAGAATTTCACTACTAAGGAGATAGCTATCAGCAAGAAGTTGGCGCAGCTGGCGCAGTCTAGTGGATGAATAATGGAGGCAGGACATCTCTTTCAAGTTAAAAAACAACTCAAAACAGACAAACACTTTTGTGGCTTGAATTGTCGCCGCACAGCGTTCCACATAGTGTCATTTAGAAATTAATTATACAAAAATAAAATTTGTGAGAAAACTCCTAATTATGCGTAATTGTAGAGATTGCTCAACTATCTAGTAAGCGAATCAAAAACCGGAAGTAATATGTCGATAGCCTTGACTGTCTAATTTTATATAAATGGGAGTCGCTTAGTCACTTCCTTGTTTGGTCACGTGATGTTAGTAAGCCGTAACTAAGCTGCTACACACAACAAAAGGTACTTCATCAGTGCTTCCCCAATGTCATGTTACTTAAAAATTGTACCTTTCGAAATATTCTGGAATACATGCGTTTTTTAAATGAAATACATAAATGTGACAATAAATATACGTCAGTTATGATTAAAGGAAGAAAGTTATTTCAAGAAAAATTTGTGAGCGATATTCGATGGGAACTATCAATACTATTATCGGCAGGATGTTGAGCTCCGTGCGTGCTCATGACGTCTTTTGCGTTTTTATTCAATTTTGATGCAGGAGTCATTCCCATTTGTTTATTTTATTGTTAATTTTCATTGGACGAAATGTAGTGTAGTTGTAGTGTGTATCGGGCTACTGTTGTCAAGCACTAGTGTGTTGTTTACAGCCTACCGGAAGTCTTACTTGTTTTTACTCACATCACGTGACAAATCAATCGACTAAGCGACTCCCATTATGAATGGAGAATAATTCTAATAAACCTTAGTAATTTTCGAAATAAAATACATTCCTACGTCCAGGAGACTTTGAGATACAAACTTGTCCCAACTATTGAGGAATAACATTTGAGAAACACATTCCAAAAAGGAAAAAATGAAGAGAGATTTCACTGCTGCCTATCAGCGCTAGTGAACCGGAAATATATACACTATATTCATTTTTGAAATGAATTTGAAAATTTGAAAAAGAGTTATGGGGTATGAGATCGATAGAATGTTTTTTATTGTTTGAAAATTTTTTTTAAAAAAATGATCAAAAATAATTGTATAAAGCTAGTAATCTAGTTTATGTAAACTTTAATTTATTTCATTTCACTTTATATTATTTTAACGGTTTAATTTTTAAATTCATTTATGAATGATTTGACTGACACTTTATTAATTTTCTCTGCACAATTAGTATAAACAATACATATGCTTATGAATAACTGAAATATTTTTTAAAGTTTAGTAATATATTTTCACACACACTATATCAGATGATTAAAAAGAACAATCATTGACATAAACAAACACATTTATTTAAGTGTAAATAGAGCTGTTTGAAATTAAAAACATAATATGATTAAAACTGATTGTGTAATCTTTCGAATGTTAAAGTAAATATCACAGAAGGTAATGACATACAATATAATTCGAAGTTAAATATAATTTACAATATGTGTTACAAAATATAGGAATTTAAATTGAAATATTAACCAGACTAGACGGTAAGAAATGTAATTGTAGGGCTTATCAATAAAAATAATTATAAAAAAAAAAATTCGAATTGGAAGTTAGTTGCATCGTTGAACAGCTAGAAATAAATACAAGAAAGATATCAACAGCCTGTTGTGTGCCCAAGTAGCAATGAACATACATATATTTATATGCATATATATATATATATATATGTATGTTTCTAAATTTCTATAAATTTTCTAATATGTCCTTTATCAGCATTAAAAAATATACAACAATAGGAAGAAAAATTTCAGTTAAACGTTTTCATAATATAAAAATAAAAAAAACATAAGTTCTATATTAAATGTGATTTAGTTGTGGGCGTGTGTGCGTTGTGTGGGGGTGCCCAGTTATTGAAAGCAGTCATTAATCTCAAAGATAACACAGACTATTAATATATATTGGCTGCTTTATTATACAACTTGCTGATCCAATAAAAAGTGAGAAATCTTCATATGCGAGCATTATATGTACACATATTTAACTTCACATTTAGAAAATGGTATTATGTTTTAAATATTGCCCTTTAAATGAAATAATTTATATATATATATATATTTAAAATGAAATACATAAATTAGTTTTATTTTTGAGTATATATATGTATTAGCAATTCTAATTTGAAATAAAAAATAACTAAGTAATAACTCAGACTACCTTTTTACCGCAATTTAATTCAGGTAGTGAAACAAAATATTGGCACAGAATAATTGTATACATCTATTTCTATCATAAATAGTCACTTGTCAAAAATAACAAGCTAAGTAGCTATTTTTAATGTTGCAGTTACATATATATATATATATATATATATATATATATATATATATATNTATATATATATATATATATATATATATATATATATATATAAATATATATATATATATATATAAATATATATATTTAAGATAATACATATAATGCGTTTGATAGAAACGGAATTAACATGCATGAAAGCAAGTGCATTATTATTTTGCTCCTCCATTTGAGCAGCGTCACTGAGAATCATTCAAACGGATGGCTTCAGTGGTCCGAGACCAAAGTGAATACCTAGTAGCGTACCCTCCTCTACTTCTATAGTGAAGTTCCAATAAGCGTTAATCAGACATAGATGGTTAACACTAGTGAATAACAAATTGTCTAGCCAAGGAACAGCCAAAGAGTAGCTTTCTTTAGACCTTTCAAATTATAAAAATAGGGGTGGATTTTGTAAAGCGGATCACGGTCACACCCCCGCCAAAACTTGGGAAAACAAGATCCTATCATTTGGCCGAGCTTTGTAGCTCAATATTTTAGCTAGTAAATAGCACATTAATGTCGTAGAAAAACCCAACAAAAAGAAAATACCATAAGTAAATCAGTACCTTTATAAATAAGTATTAATAAATTATCATTTTATTAATTAGTAATTAATTAAGTGTTTATTTTGTATGATCTTCTTCAACATGATATCTCCTAATCGTATTTATTGAATTTTGTTTTCCTTTCCAATGTTACAGTAATTATGACGTGCTCTGGTAACACCCAAATGAACGTGAAACTGTTTTGCTGATATATCACTAACTCCATGTATATAGACAAACGCCCCGGCACTGCCATGGCATGTAGTATTTGTGTAAGTGTATCTAGTAAAATCCGTGTATACTTTGCTGCCAAAACATTCCCTGATTTTGGTGGCTCCCATTGTTATTTGTTTAGGGAAATCATGAGGATGAGATACTATACAAACGAACATAGTTTGTTCCCTAGGTATAACTTTGTTGAAGTCAGCCATAGCAATACTGCAATGTTTTATGGTAGTATCTAGCTTGTCTAGCAAAATCGAATCACATGTGGCACACTCAACAATACACCAACCTTCATTAACATTGCGTTCACTGACACGACTGCCATATAAATTGTAGGCTTCATTGGAATGCGAGTCGTAAAACAAATTAAAACATGATTTCTCTGCTTCGTTATCATCATAAACAACAGTGCTGGAAGTGAGTACAAATATTTTACCCGAAGTTGAACTATGTACACCAGATTTTTTACATTGTTGACATTGACAAAGAGAGCTATTACTTTCTGAAGTCTTAGCAATACTTATAATCATTCCAGTTTTTAGCCTAAAGCCCTTTTTCTCATATATAATGATTGGGAGACATCTCATCACTTTCTATGTCAATTTTTGGTCTGTCTTGACTTTTGTATGGGACTAGAACGCTACAGTAAGTTTGGCGATATCTAAAATTAGCAGATATAATTTGTTGCTTTTGTATTTTGCGTCAATATGATCTTCCTGGAATTCATTTACCGGGTAATAGTTTGCATGACCTGGACTATTGACACAAGTGTTATCCTTCAGAGATTTAGTTTTTCCAGAAGTAGTCACTGAAAAAAAAAAAATTATTTGGCATACATTAATTTCATCTATTAATGTTTTAACGAGTTCATTTTAAAAGTTAAATAGATGTTTTAATTATTTATTTTTCAATAAAAAATACTAAAATAATTTGCGTAAATTAACGATTCTTAACTGATTCTAAAATCTCCTCTTGTTTATCTTTACCAAATAACTATAAAATAGAATATCGTTTTCTTCTTTTAGGTTTAACATTAAATATATATAAACATTTATATTACACTCCTTGATTTATGTAATAATTGTAAATGAGTATTCAGTTTTGAGAGGTACTATATATTTAAAATATGTATGTGTAGAATTGAAATACAAAGATCTATAACTAAAAATTAATTATATACATTTTTAATATATTTTTTAAGAAGCGGGTGTGGAATAATTTCCTCTGATAGTCCAAAAGCTAAGTAGCTATCAGGTATCTGTGCTTAGTACGCTTCTTTATATACCGCAGAGATGTTTGGATCATCAAAGAAAGATGTCTTCATCCCATTTTGCGCTTTCGATGGCAGGTTACAGTGCCCAACAGCTAGGTCTTGGAATATGCAAATACGTGTAGTATATTCTCTGCACTTAGCAAGAGGTGCTTTCGCTAGTTAGGCCATGTAAGGAGAATGTAGGAAGGCCGTATTCCAAGGAATCTGTTTTATGGAGTGTTGGCAGAAGGGGCAAGAGATATGGGAGGCAACAGCTACGATTTAATGACGTTGCAAAGCTAACAAAAGTATAAACGAATGGGAGATCATCGATGAGCAATGTTATAGCTGGCCAACAGCAGTATATGAAGGAGTCAAAAAGTCAAAAGATGCGTGTAACGCAACTCATGCAAAACAAACAATGACTAATAAATATATTTTTTTTAAATACAGAAAGCCGAATCTTACTGGGCATCAAGATTTTTCTTTGAAAGATGCAGCCAATGTTGCCATTACACCATTACAGGGACGGCTTTGTGAGACATTTTTTAAAGTGCATATTATAGCTACTCCATCGTCTCGAGAAGACGGAAGGGTGCCATATGTGTAGATTGACTATTATATATATTATATTTATATATATTTATATATTCCACACCTGCTTATTCCAACAATTTGGATCGCCTTTCCAGTTCTTCTAAAAAACAGTCAGACACTGGAGTCCTTTAAAACAAATTTAAAAACACATCTCTTTCGCAAACACCTTCTGGGGTGATGCTATCTACCATCTTTTTTAGTTAATGTATATTGGCTTGTGTTGCTTATGGTTGAAATGGGTTGAAAGACTTTGACTTGGTATGCTCGTATGTAGTTTTATATTTTTGTGTCTGTTTTTTAATAGTGGTAAATTTAAAAAAAAAAAAAAATATTTCTCTTTTTAACATGATTGACTTTGTACCGCGCTTCGAGCTTTAAGGGATGAAGCGTGTTTTTCAAATAAACTTTATTATTATAATTATTATTATATACATATATTATAAACATATATTAATTAAACAAATGATAATTTTTAATTTTAAATAACATCTAAGGGACTTTAAAAAACCTACTTAGTATGGGTACTTAAAGATTCCGATTTCTCTGTAGTAATACTATCTGAATGATGTCGTTCGAGCTTTAAATAAGAATGAACATATCATTATTGATTAGGTAAAAAAAAAATGTTTCTAAAAAAATGACACAATAATTTAACTTAACAAATACATTAAAAGAAAAATGTAAAACAAAAAAGTTTAAATTACATCATAGTTTCATAAGTGTATTTGTCCACTTAAAAAGAGTAAAAAAATGGCATTCGCTTTTGTATAGTTACGTTGTTTGAATCAATAACCAAAACAACCGATTTTTTTGACCCTACAGCCTCAGGGAATGGCTGTTTTTATGAAAGACAATTGTGACAAACTATCTCAGAAAAAAAAAAAACGGTTTGTAAAATCGTAGTAGGTAAAAAAGGAAAAGAATGTCAATACAATATACACTTAAACGTGATGACACACTAAATCATAAGAATTTTTTTTTTTTGCTGGCATCCGTCCGTCACAATGTGACGATGGAGTGGGCTTCGCAGGACGAAATCCACATAGCCTGGGATTATTATACTTGAAGGATTATAAGCTGGTTCCCAACAGCAAATCGCCTCTCTCCACGCCACTGGGTAACCCAAGGGAACATCATTGGATGTTACAGCTTGGCACAAGTGACGTCGCAGGAGTTTTCGGAATGTATCAATGTTATCCGCCTTTCGGAACCCAATCTCCGTGTTTGATTTCAGAGTTTCCTTCTCTTAGATGAGTTGCCGTCCAAGGTTAGCGAGTCCCATCTACCCGGGGTGCTGGTGGTGCTTTTGCTCTAGCTGGAATTGAACTCCAGACCACCAACTTGAGATTTGCTCAGTTTAGACCACTCGGCCACCCAGCACCCAAATCATAAGAATAATTATTATTTTAATGGGTATATTTCTTTTTATGTTCTTTTCTTGTTATAAATTTCACTTAAAAATACATTGTTAAGTTTTATTAACACGATTTAATTACCTTTTGTTTTTGTAATATTATTATATATATACATATATATATATATATATATATATTTACATACATATATATATTTATAATCATACATATATATATATATATATTAAATTGTTAATAAGTTGTTCTATACCAAAAAATAAATTTTTGTTTTTGTAATATTATTATATATATATATATATATATATATATATATATATTTACATACATACATATATTTATAATCATACATATATATATATATATATATTAAATTGTTAATAAGTTGTTCCATACCAAAAAATAAATACTAATGGCACCTGTTCTCTAGAGAATTAATGTTCAGCTTTAATTTTTGTTAACAAAAATGCTTTGTTTATACTAAAAGACTTTAAACAAATAAAAAAAAAATAAATACATTTTATTCTTACCAGTTTTTTGTACAAGTAGGGATTTAGACGTCGACATAAGCTGGTAAAAATGTAGAAATGAATGAATGATTGATATTTGCAAAAATAAATGGAACAGAAATAAATAAAAAGTAATGATTTACTTTACATTCCAGACCTTCAAAAATTATATATAGACCGTCAAACAGTCATTAGTTGTTTTTTTTTTAATTTATAGGTGAGCCTATTTATTTTAAATAGAGAATGTCACTTTTATCTTGATCACAATTTGTTTGCATTCATATTTCTACAATATATGATGATCATATTTGTTGTGCAAAAATAAATACTCTTAAATGTATAATAACATAATGAGAGCTTTTGTAAAATAGCATTAATGGTCTATTATAAATTGTAAATATTTAGAACAATCGCTTTGAAGCCAATCACGCCACAACACATATTATATATTAGCAAAATCTGGAATTTCCAGACATAATTAAACTGAACATGATATATATCAGTAAATTAAGCATAATTACTGTAAAACTGAGTTCAAGTTGTGTGAAAAAAAATTGTGGTTCAAGGCATGTGGAAACGTGTAATATAAGGACATGACAACTGAAGAGAACGTTTCGGCTAAGATCCTTTTTCATCAGACATGGGAAATAAAAGGACAAAAAGAAATATGATCCAAATTCCTAGTTCCACTATTTTCTTTTCCCACCAATCTTTTTCAAATAAACAAAACACGTTTTTTTTTTTAATTGCTCACTAATATTTCAACAAACCAATAATATAAGCTTTGTATCGTTAATACGTAATAAGTTTTACATATTTTAAAATCTAAAAATATGCATTTATTTTTTTTTTAAAGTAGGTAGATGGCATTTAAAAAAATGGTTCAAAAAGCTATAAAAGTGCAAAGAAAGACATCATATGAATTAGCAAATATTTATATATAATTTTAGTATCTCTAGTTTCCATTATGTTATAGTTTTGAATTTTGGTATATTTTTGAATGTATCAACAATTAAACACATTACTAAAATACACGATTTTAAAATAAAATAACTGTAATCAACGAGATGAATGGTAAGTGAGACATACGAATATTAATAAAGGTGCGTGAAAGGCATGGAACATTGCAAAAGGGGTATTTTTAATATCAATACTACCAAGCCTAAAATGTTATAATTTTAAACCTTTTGTGTCGAAAACAATTCTTTCACTTAATATGTTTAGATAATTTTGACATCGAAATTGTAATAGCCGTTTTTCATGATTATACCGATCGTGAACAAAGCCGATATGCTGATGAAGATAATAAAGAGATATTTTCACAATACTGCGAACGTGTATTGCTATTATTTTTCAAGGCAATAAAATTTTGCATGAAAAGTATAGTTCTTTAGGCAATAAAATTAAAGTGAGACTGTATTTGTATGAAAGACATTTTATTATAATTATAAGTTACATTTTTGTTTTAATATTATTTTATATTATTACTATTTCCCATTTGGTTATTTGGGAGGAATCTATATAACGTTCGAAATGCCAAAAAATCGCAAGTTTATCTTATCAAGTACCCACTTTTTTTCGCCACATAATAAGCACATAAAATATTGTGTACCTGTCCAGAATACAAAGTCAGTATATTTGTCATTAGAGCCTTTTTTAAAGCAGAATTGATATTTTAGAAATTTCAATTTTAAAGTTATCTTGTCGTACAAATCTTATTGTTATAAAATCTAAATGTATTTAAAACATCAACAATTTTTCCAAGCATTATTACCTTTTGCATCAAACTCGTAAATAAAAAATACGAATAATCGTATAAAACGTACTTTAAATCATGCAAATCGTCAGCATATAATATTCTCAAATTGAACGGTGTGGTGAAGTCATAATTTCTTTTGAAAATTTTTTTTAAATGCTTTTTTTTTTATTTGCTAAAAACAAGATAAACAAAAATTTTAGCTTTTATTGTTAACATTAATAAGTTGTATTATTTACACTGCAAAATTGTTAAATTGATTTAATTTATCAATGAAAAAATTGATGAACAAAATTTTAAGAAAATATTTAAAGAAGGAAAAAAGCTGATGAAGCTATATTCTTTGACATTACGCTAACATTGGTTAATCGTTATTTTAATTGAATTTGTGAACTGTTCTTTTATTTTTCATTATTTGATTGTTTTGCATCTTGAGGGCGAGGATACTTTGTTGAGGGTTTATTATTATTTTATAATCAGTATAACTAGTTACTATGTTATATTACATATTAAAAGTAGGTATCGATTTTACTACAAAAAAATATAAAGGTATACAATAAAATTTCAGATACAAGCGATGAAATAAAAAAAAAATAAAATAACTGCCGTATATTGCCTGTTAAAACAGGTTTGGATGTTATAATTTAATTTAGTTTATGTTTTGGGTGGATAATGCGAGACGGCAGTTTTTCGCGTTATCAGCTCGCCTTTGCATTGTCATAATTGAGGATCCGATCAAATATTAAAGGATGCATTACAGAAAAAAAAAACAGTTAAGGAGAATGAAGGTAAGGGATTGTAACTTTGCTCTGAAAAGTGATTTATACACTAAATTCGATATATTTACAAATATATTTTATTAAAGACTATATGTGTACTTCTTTTCTATTTTCTAGGGATTAATAATATGGCATCATGTTTGCAAATTTGTAATGCGTGAGGCAACACATGCCGTACCTTAGCTAGTTTTGAATACAATTAATTTGCTCTTCTTTACTATCACTGAAGCATTAATACTGAAAATTGAGAACACAGTAAATATTAAAAAAAATATTGTATATTGTGTTGTTTTGTTTTTTTACCATTACTCGTCTTTCATTTCCAGATTAAGTATTATTTATTAAAGGGAGTTTTGGGTCTCTACATGTTTATATGCTTTATGTACTTGGGCTACCTCAATTAAGTAATAAGAATATCACCTAAGAATCCATACGTTAATGTTTTAGTATATTTTATGAATACAATTTCCTACTTTTTTTTTAAACATTTTCTTTTTAACATATTTCAATCATATTGTTGAAACGTCTGTTTTGTATCATATTTTTAAAAAATATAATACATTGCATGACGAAGAAGGGTTTAACATAAAATTTCAATTTTTATCATTGGTTTGAAAAAGGGCGCTTAGGAATCGTTGATTAAATCTTGTATTTATGTAAGATGCTTACCAGAAAATGGTAACAATAATTAATATCACAGACATGCTTGTCCCCGCAACACTGATCAAGATTTCATTATGGCATCCTTGTATTTCTAAAAAATCGCGAATAGGATAAGAAAATTGGCTTTGTTCTGTGGACGAAATTAGATCTGTGGAAAACACAAAATTATTTCTTTTAAATAATACACTTGCGAGTTAATAATTTTCATATTTGTCATTGTATTTAAAAATTAAAGGGCCGATTGCTAATGCATTATTGGCTGGACAGATGCATTTGTCGAATAAATGTTGCTTCACTTTTACTTGAAATGTTAAATCAAATATTATAAATTTAATTTTGCTCTTTATTTATATCAAGTGTTGTGGCAAAAATACATCAACACAATTTCCGGTTGCCCACTTTTACGCTAAGCTTCAGGTGCACTCACTCAAGTTCCATTGAGTTGACACATTAAATAAATGTCAATTTTTTTTTCATATGAATATTAAATACATTAAATTGTCACTAAATAGATTAATTAAAAATGGTTTATAAACTAAAATTCTTCGTTAGGAAAAGTAATGAACTACTAAATATCAAAGTTATTCAGAACAAGTAGTGTTCATGCTTTGTCAAATGCAAAGAAAATTACTTACATACTAATATAAATTAAGATGATTTGTTATCACATCTCTACATTAAAAAAAAAATTAAACGATTGTTTTTCTTAAAGTGTACTGTTTGCTTATATCGCCTTGTATTTAATTTTATTTGGCTGAAAACATGCATCTTACCTGCTTTTAAAATGCAACCAGTGGTTATTGAGGCTCTATCTAAACTGCATGCACCATATTTTATATTGACACATACACCGTGTGTCTTGTTGAACTTGGTATTGTAAATAGCGCTTCCCTTTCCTTGCACTGTTTCCGTTGTATCATTTGGTGAGATCTCAATCAAACACGGAGAAGCTTGACTTTCACAGATACACACAATGTTAATATCGGTTACACTGACACTGATAACCCATACATCTTTCTTGGTTGATAGTACTTTTCCATTTACTATCAGGGTACTCTTTATATCTGAAACATCTAAAGAATTTTAGGTGTTAATATTTGATTGAAGCTATGTTCAGGTATGTCTTGAACTAAAATGTTAATGAATTAGAAACACATTTTCAATTTGTTTAAATTCAAATTATTTTTCACTGACAAAATTGGTTGGGACGGTTTTACATTTGAGTTACGCAGCAAAACTCACATTCTTAACCTTATTTTTCAGTCTTCAGTTATGATAAATTATTTTTCGTCAATATTCATGTTTTCTTGTTTTAACTATTTTTTTTCGTGAGGTCCACGATGAACGAAACATTTAATGTCTATCTTTTACATATATTTAAGTGTAAAAATCCTGATATTTGATTAATGTCCTTCATCAGGCTCTTCCAACGTTCATACGTCGTATTTACACCGTATTAAACACATTTCCTTTTCCATTGGAGATATTACATCAATATATACAAATAAATATATACACATTTTACATTGCATGAAATACATGTCTAGCGCACCTCGCTTTAAGGAAGAGAAATAATACACGACCATCTACTAAAAGGTTCTTGCGACGAATGATGACGAATAAGCATCTACGCCAAAAGACAGTCTACACAATATGAAATAATAATAATAAATGTACCTCACCAAGTAGCTAGAGGGAAAGGTTTCATTAACTGCTAATTCTCTTAAAGGACACAAAGCGCTATAAAACACAATATCCAGTATGCAACAATTATTAATGAATTCATACTCTCAAAAGTAGGGTCATTAAAAGAATGCTCATTATTTGTTAGGTCCACTAAGTATACTTCTGGTCAAAAAAAAAAAAATAATAATAATAATAAAAAATTCGGGTACTTTGGTTTTGTAACTTGAAGTTCGTTGCAGGTAGTGGGGGAGAAGGGATTAGAAAGTAAAGAGTTTGCTTTGGAGTCTCAGAGTAGTATTAGAGTGAAATTCGGGAGTAATTTTGTGGAACCGGCTGTAAGCTTATTTAAGTTACATTATAAAAGAAATGATTAAAAAACTAAGTTTTATGTACATGATGCTCTACAGCTTGGGTCGGCAGAATTTTAGCATTAGGGTATCAAAGTAGGATGTTTTAGTTAATCAACTCGCTGTCAAGGGTATGAGAATCACTGTTGTTATGTGTAGATGAATGATTTCATGTTTGATAGGGAAAAGATGTTTAATTAGAGCTGTATCGTGGGGGTGAGAGTGTTGTGACGTAATTGTGCAAAGTTGATGTGGCGCGTTAGTCTTGTCGATGTTGTGATGGAAGATTGATGGCGAATATAATATTTTGACTGTTGGACTTGTGTTGCTGTGTGTTAGGCTGAACCGATTGGATTAGTAATCTGTATTTAAATCACAACCCTAGTTAAGGAATTGTTCTTGAATAAATTCGCATATTGCAACAAACCGTAAAGTGTTTGTTGAATTAGAAACTGTTGCTATTGGTTATACTTTTCGTAGGATCAAGTGAGAGACTTGGCCAGATAAGTAGACACTCATTGCCATGAGTGGATAATTTACAACACAACAGATTCAACGGTTCGACACTCGCTAATAACCCTTCAGTCTAACTGGTTTACAATATTTATATAATACATTTGCATTATTTTTGTTCTTTCATGTGCCATCAAAAAATCACTCCTCCTGTCAAGTGACTTTCATCCAGTTAGGTAGAAGACCTCCATTCTTCAATATAACATGCAATGAATAGGCAATATTTAAAAATATATATACATATGTTCATTCATAAATAATTGTATTTGCCATTTTAAAAAAATAATTATGCGTGCATATTAAATTTTTTCTATTAATATATACATATATATATATATAAAATTATTTTATATGTATACATACATATATATATATATATATATATATATATATATATATATTGTAAATAAAAGATAACAGATGAGTTTTACCATAGATTTCAGGAAAATGAATGTGTTTACTATCAATTTCCTCTTCGTTTGAAGTAACAAGTTTTCCATATATTCTTGCACCACTGTATATTTTTGTAGCTACAACTTCTATAGTAATTTCAGCACTATGTGACTCTATACGTCTGCAATCAGACATGCCATAGTCACAGTCTGTTTGTAAATTATACTCTGTGGTCTGAAATTATATGATATTTTATTTTATGAAAATTAGTTAATATAATATGTTATTTTAAATTATATCTATATGTTGAAACCTTTACATAAAGGAAAACTATAATAACTCAGATAATAACACGAAACGACACATCAAATCTACAATAGGCAATCGGATGGTGACAAGAAGCAATGAAAAGTTACTTGTAGATACATAATGACTCTACTCACAGTTTATAAATTTTTCCGGATGTAAGTAAAACATTTGTATACAATTTAATAATTTGGGTTGGAAAGTTTGAAATTATCTCTGCAAATTTCGGACGGATCAGATACGGAGGGACACACACGTTAAAAGATAAATAACTTGCCCAAGTAAGTAAAAAATAATGAAATAATAAATTAATGCTACTTGGGTTAAAATTATATATCTGAAGATGTATATGTATAAATCAGGAAGGGTTGACTTCAAAGTGTATGTATAGCATACTCTATTATATTATTAAAATTAAATTGTTGAATTTATTAATTTTATACATTGATATAATAATATGTATCAGCCAATAATTTTAAAATGTGTGTGGGTCTGGTATTTGTGAACTGATTCTCTTTGGGATACACTGATTGGAATTTATCGCTAGGTACAATTTAGTTTGCTTTAAATAACTTCAGATAGTTTGAAATTTAGTAGACCACATGACTCGTGTCATAGAGAACACATTGAAATGATGTTCGTATACGGTTTATCCAAAGAGAAAAAAAACCCACAGTTATTATGGGATGGATGGGTTATAGTCCATTCATTTTCCCCAAACTTTTAACGTTTTTAAAGTGCATACTTTTGATTTGTTAACAACACATAATGCTTTATAGGATTTTAAAAAAGAAATTAATTCAAGTTCTTTGTGTGTGTCTTTTGCATTCACAATATATTTTTTTTCTTAATGTTAATATTTTTGTTGTAAAGACAGCTTAGGTCGAACGTCCCATAACTGGAACAGTTGTTTTTCCCCTGAATATTGTCCACATACTGTTTTCGAACAAATTGTAGAAATAGTATACATTTCAGGGCTCTGCGACATTAACAAATTTAGGGAGGGGAATTTATTACAAATTAAAGTCTTGAAATTAGCAAATGCACTTATGACATCAGACGAGGTTTTAAGGGAAACTTGTTAGGTTGCCAGAAATGAGAAGGGAGGAAGAGATATTGAGTTACATGACAAGATGAGGATAAGAACCTGAGTATAGGTTTTAACGCTTATGATGCTTATGTAAGAGGACTTACAGTAGGTAAGGTATCCGTTGTTTTCTTTATGTAAATATGAACATAACTCATTTGTGGGTCTTTAGAGTAATCAACCACAGCTTTGAAGACAACTAAATCCCCACTGATAATACCATGCACACATGCTGATCCAATGTTCTCTTGCTTGACTTGATGTAATGTTATAGTTTGGCCATGTGTAAATGCTTTTAAAAAAACATATAATGTGTTCTCAAATATATTTTTTCACACTTACTATAAACAAAATGGAGAAATATGTCAATTTAAAAAAAAAGATTTTTTTGTGTAAAAAGTGAAACAAAAATAATAATTTCAAAGAAGGTGGTCATGCAATCCCGGGGACAAAGATTTATTCACTGATGCTTAAAACTGCTTGTAATAGTTTAATGTGCCAACAGAAATGAGAGTAGGAATTTTTTTTTAAATATTTATTTATTTTGTATATTAAATCTAAAAAAATGACTGTATAAATATATTTTACAAGTAAAATATATGTATATGTACACATTATTTTTTTTTAATATGCCACTGGTTTTCAATACGTCTTTAGTCATGCATCTACAATTAAATCTATAGCCTTAAAAAATACAATGAAATTGTGTAGTACTTCTTTTGATTCAGCCTTTAAATTGTACACATTATAATATTGTATAACATATAATTCATTTACAATATTGTATTATTTTAAGTTTTTATCCTTAGACTTACCAAACAAAAGCAATATAGCAACTATATTGAAGAGTAAATGGAACATTTTGTGATCCCTGTTTTCATGTCGAGAAGAAATTAAAACAAATAACTATGCATTTTAGACATATCAATAATTAATTGTATAGTTTGCTGCTTCAATATTTAATATTTTAAATGTTCATTTAATTGCTATTTAAATTATATATTAAAAAAGCATAAAATTTCAAAACAATTATGAACCCATTACTAGGCCAACAAAAATTACATACTAACATAGTTGTTTTAAAACTTTATATCAAATTATTTATACAGATATATATTCTAAGATTTTTTTGCATTATTAACAAAATAACTAAGTAAATGCAAATTTTTATTTGGTTTTCAGTTGTTTTTACATATCTAGTGGATTGCGGTCGGCAAATGGATGCCTTCATGGAAGTAAACATTGAAATGGTATTTTTAAGCTCTTTTCTGAAGTGGTTTCCAAAGATCTTTTAGCAACATGTTACGAACCAATTATTACCTAGGTTCGTTAGCCTCGTTGTCTAGGGGTTTTAGAAACTAAACAAACCATATTTTATTATCTTTATTAACAAACTAAATCGTCAACTTCCATTACGTCAGGAGACAAACTACACAATAACAATGCGTAATTTCCCTTTTTGCACGATTCGTCACAAAATAACAAACATTTAATAGCAACATCTACCCACATAATTTCCAAACAACACGCAATGACAATATATATTCACGTTCTTAACACGAAACTTTAACGTCATTACATAATATATTGGCTTGCTATTTAAAATGGCTCTTACAAAAATTATCCTTTGTGTATTTTACTACATACACTATAAGGACCAAAAAAAACCATAAATGTCTATCGAATGGACTTTCATGTTGTCTGTTAGCTTCACTTCTTTGGAAAACTCATTTGTATTGATGCAATCAGAATATCGCGCCTGTTTTGATTCATATGTTAGATTATAATGATTGAATCGATACAGAGGCGATTCGTTCGAATAATGAATTACATCTCTGGCTCATATAATAAAGAAAGGTGGTCAACAACCATAGTTGCCATTATAAATGACACGCCGTGCATGCAAACGACAATGATAAACAAAACATATTAATATTTCAGCTACTACATTCTTTAATTTTGCGTTGAGTTAGAATCTCGGATAAATATGTAATGTATTTATACCCCACAATAAAATCACCTATTAACTAAAGAAAAAAATGAGAGCTGACTAAAATAACACCATTTAAATTGAAATTTAAAAAAAGAAAATTAGGTATGATAGAACAATTTATTATCAATCCTAAACACAAGAAATAGGACAGATCATCACCGAATGTGGTGACCTTTGGTATTTTTTTTTCGCTTAAATTCTATGACGTTGGATTAGGGGAGAGTTGGGGGTGCTCAACTCCTTAAACATCAAAGTTTTCACAGAATTGTCAAACGTAAAAAAAAAATGATAAAAGAAACAATATTTACTTTTCCTACATAGCGAAGGTAGACTTTCAAATTTTAATTTTTTTTTAAAAAAAATTAATGAATACTGAAAAAATAATAGCTACAAATTATGACATTATTAAATTGATTGCGCTTAAAGTGTTGAACTATGTGTTTATTACTTTACTATTTCTTGTTGTTGTTGCTTATTTCATTGAATTATATCTAAACATTACTCATCATACCTCTATAAACTAAAATTCCTCTACACAAAATTAATAGAAAAACTAATATAAATGCAATGCATTACCCAATGCAAAATATACCACTAAAGACGAACATTACTACATTAACACTAACAAATATTCTTTCACCTACATACATAACTTAAATACTTTACCCGTAAAACTGAATTGACATTAACTATCTGTTACAAAAATAATCCAACCGTAAAATTAACTATATACGTTCACTAAAGTTTTAAAGAACCTTTAAAACATGTTTAAAAAAAGCATACCTTACAGACTTTCAAAATAAAATATATTTAAAACATATAAAATGATTGACGAATGATTTTATTATTAAAAGTATTTTACATTGCGTAATTTCACGGACTCTTATGTGAAATTGTATCACTTAAATAACTGTCAAAAGGCCTAGTTTAATAAAGTTTAAACTACAGTAAACAAATAACATTAAATAAATTTAAAAAAAAACAGCAAGTAATACTTTAATAATTTAACTTAACTATAACTGATTCCTAAATTTAAGCTTACACTAAATCTAGCTATACCATAAACATGTTTCCCTAACGTAGTCACAAAGTATATTTAAACCTACCATTTAAAACAATGAAAGTTCTTAGCTTAACCCAATACTTACACTGCACTAAAACAAGAGAAATTTCACTAAGTTTACCTCACCAGATCCAATTTTAATTCTTAATTTAACTAAATGTATTAGTAAAATTGGGTATTACTTTTATTTTGGTGAATTATGAGCCTGTGAAATGTGTTTAAATTCCGTACATAAAATGTCAATATTTTTAAAGGGTGGACTAATAGGCCTACATAGTAAGGCTAAACTCATTCATTTTCTTTCATAGATTCATAAGGGGAAATCACATACAATTCACAAATAGTAATGCTACATGTTAATCCCAAATACCCAAACACGTTACAACCACATGTGTCGTCTGTAGTGTGTGGTGAATAACGCAAACGCATCGATCTTATCCCAATCATGTAAAAAAATCGATATCGATTTAAAATGAGGCTATTCATGTCGAAATTCACCTGTTCTATAGCACGTTCTTTCTAGCTTTCATAACCTTTAATATTTTAAAATGTAAAATGTATGTACTTTTTAGGAGATAGCGGGGGGGGGGTGGGGGGTAGTCTTTTAATTTGCACAAATTTTATCACCGAATTTAAACAAGAGTTTGCACGCCACTGTCTTACCTATTTATTACAACTTCAACTCCTTAGAAAAGTAAGACTTGATTAAAACGAGAAACATGCAAAGAAATTCCTGACTTAATATCTGCACTAATAACACAGTCATATCTAGAGACCGACCGAAAGTGATTTTCTGATTTCGGCCGAAGCCGAAAATAGGCCGAAAGTTTAAAATAACTTTCGGCCGAAACCGAAAAAAGGCCGAAGGTTTAAAAATGACTTTCGGCCGAAACCGAAAAAAGGCCGAATATTAAAAATGAATTTCGGCCGAAACCGAAGCCGAAGCCGAAACCGAAAATGTAATATTAAGTTATTTTGAAATTCGATCTCGCATACATCTGCATACATCGAAAATGATGAGGGAAAGTATAAATATTTACATTCTTTTTATAAAAAATGAGATAATCGTGAATATTAATAAATAAACATCTAAAATAGGGGTCTCAAACTCGCGGCCCGCAAGCCATTTGTGACCCGCAAGACGATATTTT